TAGCCAACAGGCACATAAAAAGATGTTCAATATTACTAATTATTAGGGAAATGGAAATCAAAACTACAATCAGATATCACCTCACACTTGTCAGAATAGCTATAATTACCAAGACAAAAAATAACAAATGTTGGAGAGGATGTGGAGAAAAGGGAACCCTCATGCACTGCTGGTGGGAATGCAAACTAGTGCAGCCACTATGGAAAACAGTATGGAGATTTCTCAAAAAATGAAAAATAGAAATACGTATGATCCATCTATCCCACTACTGGGTATCTACCGAAAGAACTTGAAATCAACAATTCAAAGAGATTTACGCACCTCTATGTTCATTGCAGCATTATTCACAATAGCCAGCAAGAGAAAGCAACTCAAGTGCCCATCAACTTATGAATGGATAAGGAAGATGTGGTATACATATACGATGAAATACTACTTAGTCATAAGAAAAGACAAAATCGTTCCATTTGCAATAACATGGATGGACCTTGATGGTATTATGTTAAGTGAAATAAGCCAGGCAGAGAAAGACAAACACCACATGATTTCACTCATATGTGGAAGATAAACAAACACACAGATAAAGAGAACAGATTAGTGGCCACCAGAGGGGAAAGGGGTTGGAGGGTGGGCGAAAGGGGTAAAGGGGCACATATGTATGGTGACAGATAAAAATTAGAATATTGGTAGTGAGCATGATGCAGTCTATACAAAAATTGATAAATAATAATGTACACCTTAAATTACACAATGTTATCAATTATTATGATCTCAATAAAATAATTGAAAAAAAAGAAAATAAGGTATATATACACAATGGAACATTATTCAGCTATGAACAAAGAAGGAAATCCTGACATTTGTGACATGGATGAACCTGAGGGGCATGATGCTAAGTGAAATAAGTCAGACAGAGAAAGACAAATACTGTATGGTATCACTTATATGCAGAATTTTTAAAATGCAGATTTCATAGAAACAGAACAGATTAGTGGTTGCCAAGCATGTGGGGAGAAGGAAATTAGGAGATATAGGTGCAAGGGTACAAATTTTCAGCTGTAAGAAGTTCTGAGGATCCCATGTACAGCATTTACTGTAGTTAATAATTCAATATTATGTACTTGAAAGTTGCTGATAGTAGATACTAAGCAGTCTCAGCACACACACACACACACACACACACACACACACACACACACACACACACAAAGACCTAACTATGTCAGGTGATGGATGTGTTAATTATCTTGATCTTGGTAATCATTACACAATGTATAGGGATATCAAATAATGTTTTAATATATACAATTATATTTGTCAATTATTCCACAATAAAGTTAAAAAATAACATTTTTGAATAATTACCTTTAAAAGTAAGAACAAGGCAAGTATTACCACTATCAGCACTTCTGTTCAACCTTGTCCTAGAGCTCTGGCCAATGAGATAAGAGAAGAAAAAATAAAGACAACATATGTGTATTAGAATGAAGATAATATTCCTTAAGGGTTATGTTTATACTTCTTAGAAAATCACAAAGAACCCACAAGGAAACAATGAGAACTAGGAGGAGAGTTCATTCAGGCTGATGAGTACCTGATCAACATTCAAAGTCAATTACATTCCCAAATCAGGCACAAAGAACCAGAAAACATAATTTTAAGATGTCATCAATATAGAAGAAATGAAATACACCTAAAAAGAGAGTTGCAAACTTTTATAGAAAAAAAATCATAAAAGAACATATAAGACATTAAAAAGCCTTTAGATAAAAAGGGGGATAAAAAATGTCTATAAATGAAGAGAATAAGTAAAGTATGACAATTCTCCACTAATTATTTTGTAAAATTTCTAAAATGACAATCATAAAAATACTGACAGTAACAGGTATCACTGAGGATATGGAGTAACAGGAACTCTCATATGCTATTTGTGGGAATATAAATTGATAGAACCACTCTGAAAAATAGTTTGATATTATCTTTTAAAATTGAAAATTGATATTCACTCTGTCTTAGCAGTTATACACTCAGGTATATAAACCAGAGAGAAAATCACACACACATGCAGCAGAGAAATATCATTCCCAATAGCCTTAAACTTGAAACACTTCATTTAATTTCTAACCTTCAACATACACTGTGTTGGGAGAAGCATTTCACCAAAAAGCTATAATAGTCCTCCCTTATCTGAAGTTTCACTTTTTGTGGTTTCAGTTGCCCACGGTCTACTTCAGTCTGAAAATATTAAATGGAAAGTTCTAGAAACAAACAATTCCTAAGTTTTAAATCGTGTGCTGTTCTCAGTGGTGTGATGAAATCTCATGCTGTCCCACTCCATCCTACCTGGGACATCAATCATCCCTTTGTCCAGCGTACCCACACTATATGCTGTACATATATGCTACCCACCCCTTAGTCACCTAGTGGCCATCTCAGTTTTCAGATCAACCATCTCAGGATTGCAGTGCTTGTGTTCAAGTAATCCTTATTTTACTTAATAATGACCTGAAAGTGCAAGAGTAGTGATGCTGGCAATTTCTATGTTCCAAAGAGAAGTTGTAAAGTACTTACTTTAAGTGAAAGGTGAAAGTTCTCCACTTAATAAGGAAAAAAAAATCATATGGTGAGGTTGCTAAGATCTACGGTAACTCTTATTACAGTATATTATTATAATTGTTCTATTCTTAGTTATTGTTGTTAATCTCTTACTGTGTCTAATTTATAAATTAAACTTTATCATAGGTATGTATGTATAGGAAAAAACATAGTAATATAGGGTTTGGTATACCCACGGTTTCAGGCATCCACCAGGGGTCTTGGAATGTATCCCCCATGATAACGGATGCTACTGTAATGGCTTCAGTGATGTGTGCAAACAGCAATTACATTTCATTCATTTTGATTGTCTCTTCTGCCAAACCTAACTCAGTGTTCATCTGCTGGTATGGTCGGCCGTGGGCAGTGGGACTCAGAGTAGAGGAGCACACAGGCCATGTAAGCATGCTTGAGGTGTTTTGCATAAGGAATTCTAAGGTTTGTGGTTCCCAGAGCATGGGTGATGAAAGGGTTGCAGGCTCCAGGAGTCCTATAGACTCTTTACCTTGCTGGGGAGGAAACATGTCCAGAGCAGGGGACCCCCTAAGGCTTTGTTATCATGTATGATCCCAAGGGGTGCTCTAAGACACAGTGTCCAGAGCAGGGACTCCTATTGCCTAGGTCTAAGGACAATATTTCTCAGGATTTAAATTCCCAAGTTTTCTTCATTGATATGGGGAAAGGGTTCAGATCGACCTTCAATAGGGCAACAGAAAACCCAGGATATTGGTATTAGTTGATAATAACAAAGATTTTGGTGGTGTTGGTTCTTGACTGGATAAGAAAGAGGCCTGTGTGTGAGCTTTAAGGCACAAATAAGCAAGATATTGGGATAGTGGTGAGGTTTACAGGACATGTCTTCATCATCCACTACTACTGATGAGACTTTCCTGGATTCCTGGTGACAGCTGAAGCACAATTCAAACTACTTTATACGCCAAATGGCAAGATCAAATATAGCATTGATGAGGGGAGGGTGTTCTCTTCATGTCCGGGCTTCCACAATAGGGTTTCACTGTCACCTTTTTTTCTGAAAGAGTAACCTGAAGGAAAGCAGGAGATAGGGCTGACGAGTTCAGCCAGGATCAGCTCAATAAGAAATACAACTGCCAGGCCTTGCAGATTGGACTTTATGCTGAGGGCAAACAATTCAGGAAACGTGAACTATTCAATATCTACCAGACAATTGAAACCTAGCCTAGAAGTGCCAAAGTGCATGATGTGTGGACACCAATAATGAGTCTGTCACATGATACTGGGTGAGAAGTAACAGTGGCTCTGGTTAATAAAGCACCAATGGAAAGGGTCACAAATGAATATTCATCATTTAACAAAGGTGTCTTACCTGCTTACTATGTGACAAGCACCACTCTAGGTCCTGGGGTAACAATGAACAACTCAAATAGCTTTCATTTCAGTGGGGAGACATATGGAATAAACAAATGAACAGAATACATACTCATAGGTGATGAGTACTAAGGGGAATAAAAGATAAGACTCTAGAGATGGGGAGAGATGCTAGTCTACATAGTATTGAAAAGGAAGACTTCTCTAAATACAGAGACATTTTAGCAGAGATCAGAAAGAAGATATTAGTCAAGGTTTTGGGACTGGGATAATAAATAGATAAAGGAAAGTGGTGAAGGGCATGGAGGAGTGGGACGGGAAACGATGACACTTTTTGAGACTTGAGAGTCCTGATAACCTTGGATGAGGGCTGATTCTATCTCTTGAATAAGATCAACCTGCAGTGGGAGCAGTTTGGGATATGGAGAGAAATGTGTTCAGTTTTAAACATATTGAATTACAGGTGTCTGTGGCTCTTTCCAGTGAAGATGCCCATGGGCTGTTAGAGAAACAGGTCTGAAGCCAAGGAAACATATCACAGCTGAGATATGGCACTCATCATGTAGTTTTGAGAAAAATTGCAAAATTTCAAGTATCTGAGAAAGCCTAGAAATTCTGCGTAATTAAAAGTTTAGAGATCCTAAGATAATGCACACATCTTTGAGACAGATAGGACAACAGGATTAAGGGAGTTTTAGAAAGACGCATCTAAAAAATGGTGGAAAGTCAGGATTGTATTGTCCAGGAAGCCAATGAAAACCTGACTTTCAGAAAGTCACAAGTTAGGAGAGTAGAGAACAATATGAGTGCTCTGTGCTAGTATTGGACAGGTACGGGAGACTCGGAACATAGACAGGATGGTTTATGATGGGGCAAGCTGAAAGGCTGGCTGGAGTTCTGCTTCTCTGCAGAAGAGAATGTGGACTTTGACAATTTGAGTTCTCAATGGTGAGGCAGCCTTATATACCCAGCACGGTGAGATGAAGAGATCTCAGGTTGGGTGTTAGATGAGGTCTGATAAAGGCCTCTGACAATCCCCCAGCTTCCATATTTTACATTCAATCACCAATTCCTTGGATGAACCATTCAAAATATTATTCCAATGACTCTGGTTTCTTAATAAAATTTGAAGTACTCCAGTAAAGGTAACCAGACACAAGAACATCTCTGGGATTTCTGATGAGATAAATCACCTTAAAGAGAAAAATGGGATAATGAAAAATCAATACAATCATTTCCCATCCTTCTTCATCTTCACAAAAATAGAGAAAAACCAATTCTTAGAAAATGCCTATTAAATATCAATGGATTCTTTTCATAAATTAGTTATTGCATTCATTAACCAAATATATATTTTTAAGTTCCTATGAACCATTCACTGAGGTAATACTAAGAATATAACAATGGAAAATGAAAGCATTGTCCCTTCCCTCTTGGTTATCATAGTCTACTCACAATGGCCAGCAACCAAAAGTTTTAAAAGTTGAGCTCTATTATATTTGTGTAGTGTAGTTAAAAATTACTACTAGGAGAACGGATTAATAAACCGTGCTATATTCATAGATATACAGCAGATGTTGATACACTATAAATCTATTTATAAAAAGTTCAAGAACAAGAAAACTAATGTATAAAGTTACAAGTCAGGAGAGTGTCACCTCTGCAGGTGGGCATTGACTGGGGAGGTGTATGATGGAATTTTCTAGGGGAGAGGAAATGTTCTAAACCTGGATCTGAAAGGTAGTTACCGAATTAATAGACACTTGGTCCTGTCCAAAATGTCCATAAGACATTTGGTCCATGCCAAAAGGACCTTGCGATTTGCGAATATTTGGTCCTGTCCAAAATGTCCATAGAGACATTGGGTGCACATCAAAAAGTCCTTGATATTTGGTCCTGTCCAAAACCATTTGGACCAAGTGTCAAGGACCTTTTGGCATGGATCAAACGTCTCATGGACCAAATGCCTTGTGGACCAAATATTTGTGGACGTTTTGGACAGGACCAAATGTTCTGCATGGAGTTAACCCAGTTGTGTACATATGTAAAGATTCAACAAGTTAATACTTAAGATTAGTGCACACACACAGACACACATGCAAGAACACTTGGCATTTGACCATCTGACTTATACTCTGGATTCTGCACCAACTTTCTTCGTGACATTATTCTAGGCCCCAACTCTCACTAGGCCTCGGTTTCCCCACTGAGGAATTTAACAAACACCGATAAAACACACATAAATAAATGTATTATAAATAAGCTTGATAAGTGATGGGTTAAAAAATTAAAAATTTCATTGTGCTGCTAGACATTGTGAAATTTCCAAGAGAGCAGAATATTATTCTAAGATTCACAATCTAATTTAAGCATAAAACTTTTTTAAAAATCACAAAGCAATGAGCACCTTCCAGGAAAGTATATTTCTAGAAACAATTTGAGATATGCTAGACCCGGGATACCCATGGTCCCTCCTGGGGATCATCTGTCAGCCCCATGAGAGATTCCTGTGTCTACTGAGCTCAATAGACAGCTACACATAGGAAGACGTAGTGGGTAGAAAAACCAGCCATGGTGCCAGAGGAATCTCCCTGGATTTAGGCATTGATTTACGATGGGCTGCTTCCCATCTGGGCAACTGTATGTCTGGTGCTTCTACCTAAGCAGCAGGAAGAATTTACCTAATTAAGACTGGCTAATTATTTTTTAGAGCAACAGAGGGGGGTTAGCTAGTATTTAACACAGTTATAAATTCTGGTTGGGTTTAAAACATGGTTTTCTAAGATTCTGGTGCTATCATTTCACTTTGCCTCTGATTTACATCCAGGTGGTATAACCTGTGGAGGGGTCTACACCCTTGTAGTCAAGTAGCATCACCAGCGCAGAGTCTCAGGCCCACCTCAGACCTACTCAGTGAGGCTGCATTTCACCCAGATCTCCAGGGGACTCCCAGGCACGTTAGAGTGTGGAAAGCATTGACCAAACATCTTGACCATTGAGCATTGACCTTGGCCTTGGAACTGAAGAGAGACTTGGGGATGAGTTGGTTGGGGAGCCGGGAGCTGATGAGGCGGGGGCCTTCCTTACCCTTCAGTGAATTATAGCCACTGTCAGTCTCTACCCAGGGTGAGCGTTCCCAAATGGGCACAGATTGGATCCACTTGGGATCCCCCTTGGAGCAAATCAGGCAGAGAATTTCAATCAACCAGTTTGTTCCTAGATAAAGAAGGAAAAGTGATGTTCACTCATTTTAATCTGACTTTTTTTTAAAATTGTGATAAAATACATGACATAAAATGTACCAGCTTAACCATTTTCAGGTGCACAGTTCAGTAGTGATAAGTATATGCACATTGTTGTACAACCATCTTGCAAAACTGAAACTCTGTACCCATTCAACAACAGCTCTCCATTTTCCCTCCCTCCAGTCCCTGCCAGTCCCTGGCAACCACCATTCTACTCTCTGTTTCAATGGGTTGGATTACTCTGGATACCTCACTGAATGGAATCATGTCATATTTGTCCTTCTGTGACTGGCTTATTTCACTCAGCATAACGTCCTCACAGTTCACCCATGTTGGAGAGTGTGTCAGAACTCCATTCCTTTTTAAGGCTGAATAATATTCCATCATATATAGACAGTACATTTTGTTTATCCATTCATCTGTCACTGGGCATTTGGGTTGCTTCCACCTTTTGGCTATTTGCTTAAATCCTTCAACCTTCCCCCAGTGCCCTTGGCTTTTCACCACCTTGCCACTTCCAATGTCTCCAGCCTCAGTCAGTGACCAGCTTGCAGACCCTCTACCCCCCTCCCCTCATAGAATCTTGCTCCACATCCTTTCAGTCCCTTGAATTTTCCAGGCTCTTTTCCAACTGCCGACCATTGGCCATGCTGATACCTGTGCCTGAAAATATCCCTTTTCTCTAAATCCTTTCAAATTCATTTTTCATCTCAATTTAGACAACTATTTTCTCTAGTTTTTTTTTTCTTTTGGCTGTGATAGTTGTGTTTATTTATCCCTCCTCAGTTTTATTGAGGCATAACTGACAAAGAAAAATTATATAGTTTGAAGATGAACAATGCAATGATTTGATGTATGTATACGTTGTGAAATAATGACCACAATCAGGGTAATTAACATATACAGTATCTCACGTAATTACCGTTTTTCCCCCTATTTCTTCTATAAGGACTTCACTGGTCACCCTCCCCCACTCCTCCATACAAACACCTGACTCTGCCGTAGGATTTACTCCTCTAGGTTCCCCTAATACCTTAGATTACCCCTCTGGGCACTCATCTTACTGTGTAACTGCCTGGCTGAAGCCTTTTCTCTGAATGTAAAGGGCATCAGGGCACAGCTCTATTTCCCCACAGCATCATGCATTGTCTGGCACGTAGAAAGCACTCCATTCGCCTACTGAGTGAATGAGGGACATGGCCACAGCATGTCTCAGTATCTGATCCTGCTTCCTTACCTGATTTGGGGTAAGTCAGTATTAAGACATCTTCATCCTTAAACACAAAACTCTCACAGTCTTCTCTGAGGTGTTCAGATATGAAATCCACGGCAGGGAGAGGTATCTCTTCAAACCACATGTATCCGTATGACATTATGATGAGCTGTTTGTGCCTAGTGTTAGAATCTCAGCTGTGGCCACTGTTGGAGGTTGTGGAAGCTGCTGGGAGATCAGCTTTTATACTAAAGATAAAACAATTATTAACCTATCCAGGTTTGTTGAGGAAGTGCCTGCTGGTAAAAAAAAAAAAAAAAAAAAAGTAGATATTGTAACTGGTAGATGGTCAGTTCCAAGGTTGATGATATTGAGCAACCATGACGTCATTCAGAGAACATTGTAGGGTAATTTGAGTTTGAATTCATGAAAGAGAACCAGAAATTCAATAACAAGCCCAAAGATGTAGAAATGTGGGCAAATTTAAAAAATATTTTTCATAAGCTTTATTTTTTAGAACAGTGTTAGATGTATTGGAAAATTGCAAAGATAGTAGAGAGAGTTCCCAGAGTCCATACTTTATTCATATTTGCTTACTTTTTCCCTAATGTCCTTTCTCTGTTCCAGGACCCCGTCCAGACACCCCATCACACTAAGTCGTCATGTCTCCTGAGGCTCCTCTTGGCTGTGACAGTTTCTCAGACTTTCCTTGATTTTGATGATCTTGACAATTTTGTCAGTTTTGAGGGGGCAATGATCAGGTACTTTGGAGAATTTCCTCTATTGGGGTTTGCCAGATGTTTTTCTCATGATTAGACTGGGCTTATGGGTTTGGGGGAGGAAGATCCTGGAGGTAAAACACCATTATCATCACAACATTTCCAGGGAACTTACTGTCCACGTGATGATCACTGTTGATGTTGACCTTGATCACCCAGCTGGGGTAACATTTGTCAGATTTGTCTATTGTAAATTTACTCTCCCCCATTTCTACGTGGGCATAATTAAAATGTGAACTCTGGGCCTGGATGTATTCATGAATGCACATTGTATAAACTCCAATTGAGGGATATTCTACAAAATAATTGGCCAGTGCTACTCAAATTTTCAAATTATTAAGAAAAGAAAGAAAAGCTGAAGCTATGTTCCAGGTTAAAGGAACAGGAAAACTAAATCCTGGATTGGATCCTGGACCACAAAAAAGCTGTCATTATTGGGACAATTGGCCACATTTGAATTTGTAATGTGGATTCAATAATAATGTTGCATCAATGCTAAATTCCCCAATTTCTATAATTTTACTGCCGTTATATAGGAAATGTCTTTGTTCTTAGGACATATACACAGAATATTCTCTCTTATGCTTTAAACTCACAGAGATGTGGGGTTGGATTTATGTTAAACTATAACTGAATTATAGGATCCTCATTTGCCATTTAATCATTAACATACTGAGAATTTATCATATACTTTCAGGTTTTAAGGACTGGGCCATGGGAATTCTCACATCCACCACATGGAAAATCCAGAATAGCATTGTTATTTCATTGGCCCCGACTTTCTTTTTCCCAGTCAAGGACTCTAAGCGCCACAGCTTCACATGTTCACACAACAAGCTAAAGGGAGTGTGCCCACCAGATGTATGGAATCTTGACCCTAGGAAAACTAAGAGAAACATCTCATTTTCTACCATTTCCCAGCGGGCTTCAGTTAGCTAAAATTAAGACCATCTAATGAATTATCTAAAACCCCATTTGAAAGCAACAATGTTGAAACTGCACACCTCCTCCCTGTCCCCTCTGTGTCCCCAGATCTCGTTCAAGAACCTCTGGGCAAAGACTCTGGACTGTAGCGCCGGCCCAGGCGGCAAGGCAGGGGGGCCCGAGCTGCGCCCACGATTCCAGAGCCCCAGCCCCTGCCCCTGTGGACCCCCTCTCCCCTAGGGCCCCGGTTTCTGCAGCACCCTGCCGTCCAGCGCCAAGAGAATCTTCCAGCAGCAGAACCCAGCTGCTCCAGCCCCGGCCCCAGCCTGGCCTCACGACCCCTACGCCTTAGACTTCTCTCCAGACCCTATTGCAATCCCTGATTTCACAGTGCTCCTCTCACCCCATGACCCCCTGGAGGGACCCTCCTCCTCCTCCTCCTCCCCCTCCCCCTCCCAGTCTGGGTACCAAGAGGAGGATGAGACTGTGGATGAGAACGACTGGGGCCCTGGGAGGTTACAAGATTTATAGAAGATTCTGTCCCCGAAAAGTCTTGCAGATCCCACGGGGCCAGAGGGGACTAGGGTGTCGTCGGCCCGCACGTGGTGGCCTCGCGGGTGCGGGAGGCGGTGGCGGGTTGGTCTTGAGAGCTGGTTACTCCTCTGAGCGCGGACGCACCTCCCTTCATCCGACCTGCGGGGGGGGCGTTTGCTTGTTCACTGCGCGCCCATCCGGTGTCCCGCTGATCTGAGTGTTACTACAATTATTAGAATGCACCGAGCTTTCCAATCTAAATCTACTACTTATTTATTCGTTCACTTGGTTGTTTACAAAGACTCTCTAGGAACTGTTACTATTTAACCACAAAGGCCGCCTGCACATTTTTCTGTAGGTTTATTTCTAGTACTTCATCTTTATTATTGCCTGACATTTTAGATGGTATTTTAAATTTTATTTTAAAATCTGTTTCTCCTGTATATAGGATTCAGTTGATATATTTATTTTGTATCCAGGGACCTGGCTCAGTTCTTTTAATCCTAATAACTTATCTGGACATTGTTTTGGGCTTGACAATTTGAACATTAATAAAGTTCATGGTCATCTTGTAAACAATGTTTCCTGCAGAGCCAGCGAGTGTGTCCCCTCCTTTGGTAACCACAGCCCCAATTCTCTAGGAGACTCCTGTCTCCTTCTCTCTGCCTTTCTGTCTCCAGTCTCCCGCTTCCTCTGTCCCCTGCTTGTGGCCGTCCTGGACCCTGGGTGTCCCCACAGCCAGTTCTCTGACCCTGTCCTGGTCCCATTTAGCAAACGCTCCAATCTTCTTAGGCCAGACCAGCCTCAGCAGAGCAGACAGAGAATTGGATCAGATTTGGGAGTGGGTCACACATGTGACAGGCTCTGGAGGGGAGTGCTGGGGGGAGGGAGGAGACAGACTGCCAGGATATAATGAAAGCCCCTCCTGCTTATCTGACAGACCCTGGTAGGGGTGGACACACACTCAAACGCTGGACCCCCACCCCAGTCAGACCCTGACATTGTGGGGAGGGCAGGGAGGAATCTAATTTTCCATCTATCCCAGGAGAGGGAGCTGAGGTGGGGGCAGTCCCTGTGGGCTTCCTGGGAGCAGGGGTGAGATAAGATTCAGACTCACACCCTGGGCGGGGAAGGAGGGTGACGCCCCTGGGAACCTCCGGGCACCAAAGGGCCCACAGTGAATGGAAAATGGATTAATTTTATAACTGAATGGAGACAGAGTTTGCATTTGACCTGACTGTCTGAATAGAAAGTGATGGATTAAGCAGCACAGGATTCCTCCCCTCCTCATCTTCTCCATTCCATTTCTCCTCTTACCCAAGCAGTCCTAGCACCCCCACCTCCTCCTTCTGAATCAGGAATCTTCACCATCACCTAGGAAGCTCTACTCACTTCTCCTCACAATCCCAGGCTGTGTCCTGACCATGCCCAGTGGCAGAACCTGGACTTCCTGCTCATCTCAGGAAGGAGGGAGGTGGGGACTTCCTGAGGGCAGGTCTAGGAACTTCCCCACATCTGTGTCCCCCAGGGCAGTGCCAGAGCAAGAATTTCTCTTTTATTTTCCTCCCTTTAGCAAATCAAGCAAACAAAACTATTGCACTATCAATCATATAGCTATGGTCAGCAATGGAGATCTGTTGGGACTCATGGTGATCCCTATGATCCATGGTGATCCATCTCTCGTGGTTTCCTTGGTGATCCTTGTAGGTCCATTGGTATCCGTGGCATCAAGGCAAGGATAAGAAACTGCTGTGTGTTTGACTCTGGAGAAGGTGAAGCTTTTAGAGTCAGCCACAGGGCATGTAGGAAAAGGACTCAGGGTGTATGTGAATAGAGTTCATTATACCTTCAACAAATGGGTAAAGTTCAAGCTTAATTCAATTCTGGGTGCTCTGGGGTGCAGATGGAGGTGGTGTGGGTAGGAGTGTCTTTGCCTTGTGAGGATTGGAGAGAGGGGAGAAGGAAGTCAAACAGAAATCTGGAGAGACCGGGACTGAGGGTCCATTTGCCAGAAGGGACAGATGGGGTCCCTCAATCAACATGTGAAGGGGAAATCCATTTTGAGAGACCCCGGGAACAGCATGGGATATATTCAGATACAGAGACACAGGATGTTCCCTTGTCCAGGATGAATAAAGCGTGGAAGAAAAGATACAAAGAACACAACCCCTGTCCAGGGGTCTGGGTGAATAGGCAGGCAGATGATCACAGTCTCTAGTTTTAGTTTCTATGGAGCTCCATTTCTAGGATGAAAACGTGGACATCAGAGAAAATAGAAGATGTAGCCTCCTTTCCAGCATCCACAAACTGAGTCTCTGGGTGGTGCAGAGGGTGGAGCTCTGTGTGAGTGAGACAGAGTCATCGCTGAGACCCAGGTGTGCTGGCTCCTCAGCCTGGCTCCAGGGAAGGTGGGGCCTGTGACACCTCACCTGTCTTAACCTGCAATCTGCTCCCCAGAGCCTCCATCCAAACAGACAAGTTACCTAGCTCCCCCAAACTCCAAGTCCGTCAGGGCCTGTGAGGTTCCTATAGGATGCTCACCTTAGGGAGGCCTCTGGGTTTCAACACTCTGCGTCATCCCAGATCCCTGGTCTCCAATTCAGTACATCTGGATGGGGCCTGAGACTTTGCATTTCTCAGTTCCCAAGTGATGCTGATGCTGCTGGTCTGAAAACCACACTTTGAGAACCACTGCTCTGAATCACAGGTCTCCAACTTTGCCACCCATTAGACCCCCTGGAGGGTTTTTTTTTTTTGTGAGGACGATTGGCCCTGAGCTAACATCCGTTGCCAGTCTTCCTCTTTTTGCTTGAGGATGATTGGCCCTGAGCTAACATCTGTGGCTATCTTCCTCTTTTGTAGGTGGGATGCCGCCACAGCATGGCGTGATGAGCTGTGTGTAGGTCCACAGCGGGGATCTGGGCCCACGAACCCTGGGCCACTGAAGCGGAGCAGGCGAACTTAACCACTACGCCACCAGGGATGGTCCCGTCCCTGGCAGTTGTAACATTCCTGTACCCCAGGCCAATGAAGCAGTGTCTCTAGGGGTGGAAGCCTGTACCAGTATGTTCTAAAGCTCCCAGGAGATTCCAAAGGGCAAAGCTTGAGAACTGCTCTCAGTCAAATCTCTGCTGAGGGGTAGATGGACTGAGTTAATATATCACTGTCATTATTAAGACCATACCAAGCCTTTATTTCACTAAAAGAAAATTCAAAATTGCTGTATGTGAGTGTCCCTTTTGCAGAAATCCATATAAATACATCAAGTCGTATGACAGGAAAGACAATGTTCATCGTCGTTTTCTTACTAATTGAATACAGTATCTACCAGTAATTTTGCTTGTAAAAAGAAAACATTTTATTTGCCTCTTTGTCTGAAGTTTCTCTAAATAAAATGCCTAACAGGAAATAACCCTGAACTAGTGCAGTTTTTTAATTGTTGTTACAGTAAACAATGTGTCGAGAGACACAGTTGGGTCAGATCAAAGATGTGGTTCATTCAGGGACACCCATGCGACAGGGAGAGACAAGGCAACTACATGCCGGTCGTGAGGCATCAGGGTCACCAGGGGGCACCAACACAGCACTGCTCCAGAGCTGGGGCCCTGGGGAGGGTGGGAGAGATGCTCCGCGAGCAATGGGAGAAAAGCAGGGAAAAGACAGAGGCACCATTACATTCGTTTCCATTAGTGCAATTTAAGGCTACGTCCAAACAGCTAGAAAATGCTAGTGTTGCAAAGATTAGGAACCACAGCTGGCAGGAATTTAAATTGGAACAACCCCTTTGGAAAACAGTTGGCAGCAGCTACTAAATCCTCATGCATACACGTCGTATGAGCCGGTGATTCCAGTCCTGGGTGTTTACCCAAGAAATGTTCACCAAGAGACACACAAAAAGACACGTTCACAGGTGCATCCAGGGTCATAAACCCAAGCTAGAAGCTTCCCAAACGCCCATCAAAAATATAAGGGACAACATAAGTTTTGGTGCATTTGCCCAGTGAGATATTGACCGTGGGTGTGAATCTCATGAACATGATGATGAGTAAAGGAAGCCAGACTCAAAAATGTTGATGGGACTTGATTTACGAGAGGACAAAACTTTGTAAGAAAGTGCCTCACTGTTTTCCAGAGTGACTCACAATTTTGAATTCTACCAGTGCTATGGTCTGAATGTTTGTGTCCCCCTAAATTCTTATGTTGAAAACCTAATGCCCAAGGGGATGGCATTAGGAGGTGGGCCCTTGGGAGGCGATTAGGTCATGAAAGCGAAGTGAAGCCCTAATGAATGGATTAGTGCCCTGATCAAAGAGACCCCAGAGAGCTAGCACCCCCTTCCACCATGTTCAGATACAAGCAAAAGTCTGCCACCCAGAAGAGGGACCTCACTGACCACACTGGGACCTCAACTCAGACTTCCACCCTCCAGAAGATGGATCTCCATCTTTATGTGTCTCTAGATAGTTTTTATTTCTCTTTTGATTTCTTCTTTGACCCACAGGTTCTTCAGTAGCATGTTGTTAATCTCCACATATTTGTGAATGTTCTAGTTTTTTTTCTTGTAGTTGTTTTTTAGTTTTATACCATTGTGTTTGGAAAACATGCTTGATATGATTTAAATCTTGTTAGATTTATTAAGACATCGTTATTTCAATTGAAACCAAAAGAAACCAGGGGTAACTATACTTATATCAGCAGAACAGCCTTTAAGATGGACTGTGATAAGAGACATTATATAATGGGGTCATTCAAACAAGAGGATATAACATTTGTAAATATTTATGCACCCAACATAGGAGCAGCTAAATATATAAAGCAAATATTAACAGACCCAAAGGGAGAAATAGACAGCAATACAATCATAATAGGGGATTTCAATATCCCACTTTCAACATTGGACAGATCAACCAGACAGAAAATCAGCAAGGAAACGTTGGACTTACACTACGTATTAGACCAGATGGACTTCACAGAGATTTACAGAATATTCCATCCAAAGCAGCAGGATACACATTCTTCCTAGTGCATATGGAATATTTTCCAGGATAGGTCATATGTTGGACCAAGGCAGTGATTTAAGTAGGGAAAAATTGGTGAGGAGAAACCCAAATTCACTCACAGGAGGAGTGGTCACTAAATTATAAGTCTTAATACTAATACTGAATTACTTATATAATCAACACGGATGAAACTCAAATATAAAACACTGAGTGGAAGTGTCAGTTGATGAATGCATTACACATTATGCCATTTACCTAAGTTTTAACAGCCTCCATAAATGCCATATATTGTTTATGGTCAAACACCACCTAAGAAGAGAATAATACTAGCTTGGGAATCACATACATTAAGTCAGGATATTAATAAATTGTGGAGGTACGTGCAATTGAAAAAGAAGGACTCATAACTGCTTATTAATTTTATTGATAATTTTTGACATAATTTTGTATAATACTTATGCTATTTCCACACCGTTCTGTATCTATGAAATGTTACAAACATTTTTAAAAAGCTAGGATACCACAAAGTGAATGAGGGGTACGTTGGTAATTTTTAACAATCAAGTCCTCAAAGATGCAAGAATTTGATAATTCGAGGCTCCAGGATGAAATACAGGTTTTATGCAACTACCTCCTGTCATGCACATATACAAGGACAGGAAAACAAATATCAATATTCATAGTAGATCCAGAAGTTTTTGAACATTATTCCCATGGGAACAGCTCTCGAGGAAGATCTCCCATCTTCTCCTGGAATATTTTATCAAAGGCTTCAGCTTGGGCCACCGTGAAGTAATTTTTCCAGTCCCCAGAAATGCCTGACAAACATGAAATAGAGACTCAGATCAGATCGAGGGGTAGGTCTCAAGACACCAGCACATTTCCTCCTGGACTCATCCCTTCTGTCCACTTGACATGGAAATTGTAGCTGATATGGCAGAATGACCAATGGCTCATTGGTGGGCCTTTATACTGCCTGGCAATCATACCCATTTGTACTTCCACCTGCCTGGAAACAATTTCTTATAGTCGCCTCTCTCCCAACCCATCCTGCATACAATTCATCAGGAGTACTGTGCCCATATCATTTGATACATCCAGAATCTGGCCACCTCTCACCACTTCTATTTCTACTACCTTGGCCCAAGCCAACATCATGTCTCACCTGGATTATTGCATTAGACTTCTAACTAGTCTCTCTGTTTTTGATCTTTCTTCTTCATAAATTAATCTCAGCATGGCAGCCATCTTGATGCCTTGAGAAGCTAAGCCAGATCACATCCCTTCCTGCTCAAAGTCTCCAAGGACTTCTTGTTTGACTCAGTGAAAGGCTTATGGCTTCAGGTGATTTGGCCCCTTTCATTTCTGGGACTCCATCTCCTATGACATCCCTTTGCTCACTCTACTCCTTCACACTGAGTCTTCTGATTCTGCCTCAAACATTCTCCCTCCTCAGGCTATTTGCATTTCATGTCCCTTCTTCCTGGAATGCTGTTCTCTCAGATACATCCATGTCTTGCTTGTTTGCTTCTTTGATATCTTTACTCCAATGCAACTTCTCAGTGAGGTTCTCTCCCACCACCCAGTTTATTTTATTTAGTATTTTTTTTGGCATTTAATTTTTTGTTTATTGCAGTAACATTGGTTTATAACATTGTATAAATTTCAGGTGTACATCATTATACTTCTATTTCTGCATAGACGACATTATGTTCACCACCCAAATACTAATTACAACCCATCACCACACACATGTGCCGAATTATCCCTTTCGCCCTCCCCCCTCCTCCCTTCCCCTCTGGTAACCACCAATCCAATCTCTGTCTCTATGTGTTTGGTTATTGTTGTTATTATCTACTACTTAATGAAGG